CCCTACCAGGAGCAATCCAATCGCTTCTGCTACAGGCTTCGTCCTTCTCTTCACAATCCTGGCTTGGAGCAGGTGGGTTCCTGTGTTTTCACCCTGACCCTACAGCTATGTTCTAAGCCCATTCATCATTTGTTGCCCTCAAGACACCCCCGCTCCCATCCTTCCTTCTCCACCAGCAGAGAAGCTGTGCTATCCCAGCTTCACATAGCCACTCAGAGATGGAAAGTGTCAGGACATGCCCTTGAGGAGGGCTGCCTGGTCTGAAGTTTGGGGATGATGACAATTTCCTGCCTGCCATTTTCTATCAAACACATGGTCCTGTGAAAGAGCAGGTGGCCTGGAGCCACCACTGTTGGGAGAGCAGACTGATGGAGCTGGCCTCAGTGGAGTGGGCAGCTGACGTCTGTGAGGCCTGTCTGAATGTTTCACGAACACCATCTAGCCATCGACCTGTGCCTGCAGGGCTCAGGAGAGGAAATGGGATTTTGCCCTAGAGTTATAGGAAGCCCAAGTGCTAGAAGTACTGGGGAATACCTCCTCGGTTTTCAGGGTGGACACAGTCCCTGTCCTGAGAGGTCTGTGCACTAAACCTGCAGTGCACCACCCCTTTCCCCTGCCCTGTAGGTTACCAGTCCCACAGAGGGCACTAGAGGTGTTGACCAGTTAGTGATGTGTCCAGGGCTGACCTGACTGGCAGAGGCAGGAACACATGTCCCATCTGGACCCTGGCCTTTGTACCACCTGAATCCCTCTCATGGGTGGCACAGACCCAGTAACCTCATTCTCATTTCATGGCAGCTCCAAGCTGTGCTGAGCACTTACAAAGGATGTTCTCTAGATCCAGAAAAAGCTACCTCTGCCTAATTCGGGGACCACTCAAGACCATATGTAGTTTCACCAGGGCCCAGCAGGGAGAGCCTCAACTCAGGCAGGTCCTGCATAGTCCTGGGGCCTGGGCCTCCTCCATGGCTGACCCACGGCTGGTCCCAATGCCGAAATCCAGCCTGCTTCGTAACTGGATGTCCACTCTGGTTCAGAAGGGCCACGTGGGCATGAAGAGGTGTGTGTGTGCGCCTATCACAGAGATACCGGTTACCTTCCACGTTTGTCCCGGCAGTGGACAGCTTCTCAGGGAGAGACAGTGGCACACATGGCTGACCTGGAGAAGCCGGGACTCTTAACTTCCCCATCTAAGCCCCAGCTGCAGGAAGCCCTCAGGGTAGGGGACACAAGAAGTGTGGCTAAGCAGATGTAGCTGCAGTAAAAGATTGTCAGGAGCATCACTGGGGGTTACATGCCCTGAGCCTGGCCTGACAAGTGCTCAGGTGTCAGGCGAGGTTCTGGCCCCAGCTGGTGTGTAGGGGGCTGAAGCCCCCCTAGGAGGATGGTTTCTTAATGTCTTGGGCATCACCCGGGGTGATCATCCCAGCAGGTGACACAAAAGGGGGAAATCCTGTAAGTGGGCCAGTCTGCCAGGTTATAAACAAACAAACAAAAAACGGTACATTCTGTCCCTTTACTTTTTTTTCCCCTTGAGACAGAGACTAGCAAAAGGGCCCTGGATCAGCCTAGCTCAACCTCAAACCCCTTAGCTCAAAGCATCCTCTTGCCTCAGCATCCTAAGTAGCTGGGACTACAGGTGATCACCGCAATGCCCAGCTTATTTTTTCTATTTTTATAATAGAGTCTCATTTAGTAGGTCTCATTTTTTTTTTTTTTTTTGAGACAGAGCCTCAAGCTGTCCCCCTCGGTAGAGTGCCATGGCATTACAGCTCACAGCAACCTCCAACTCCTGGGCTCAAGCAAGTCTCCTGCCTCTGCCTCCCAAGTAGCTGGGACCACAGGCGCCCGCCACAACACCCGGCTATTTTTTGGTTGCAGCCGTCATTGTTGTTTTGGCAGGTCCGGGCTGGGGATTTGAACCCGCCACCTTAGGTGTACGTGGCTGGCGCCTTAGCCGGTTGAGCTATAGGCGCCGAGCCAGTAGGTCTCATTTTTGCTCAGACTGGCCCTCTGACATGGTGGCTTTAGGGAACGAAGACTTACTTGTGTGCTTCTGAGGTGGTGCTGACCTGGCCCGGCAGCTGTTCTAATCACCTCCCTAGAGCAATAACCATCACTTCCTGCCACATAGGCTTGCTGTGGACTGTGGCCAAAGCCTGCTGAGTGCAGCGCTGATGAGGCGAACCCCTCAGAGGGACAGGAAACCTGGCTCAGCCAACTACCAAACCTGACTTTCTTTCCTTCAGGCAAGGGCAACAACCATCTTTCCTTTCAGGAGTCTAAGGCCACTATATGTTCACTCTGGGGCTGGTTACACATTTTTGTCCTCTTTTGTTCTACCTAAGATATCCACAATTGTCCTGGCCTGTCCTACCTGGAATAGCTGGATGGCTCGGGCACTGACCCCCACCACACAATCTGCTGCTGGCCTTGCCCTCCATATGGCTACTGTTACTTTGTGAAGTTAGTCCCTCTGTGGGCAACCAGGAAGAGAGCTAGAATGGTCTTAACGGTGTCTTTGCAGTAAAAGAAGAAGAGCTGGCCAAGTTCCCTTTAATCTCTTGGGATGAGTCCTGACAACAGAAGAGTGACACTAGCTACCCCCAGGACCCTATACACTGGACAAATTTGGGGGCACCGAACCATCGGAATAATTTAGGCCTGGGGGCTACAGACTCCCTGGTTAGTCATAACACAGGGCAGAGCCTGGGTCAGCCTGGAAGGTCACTAGGACCATCGGATCACTCTGACTTAGAGCATCTCTACTTTGAAGAACATACTTCAAGAGGCTACCGGGGCTTGGTCTGAAGAGCAGCTTCTTCCCAAATTGGGTTGCCCCATATACTTTCTCAAGTAATAGCAGTTGATGGCTGAGCCAGTATGGAGGACTAAAAGAAACCATAAACTAAAACCAAAGCAAGCTGCGTTTTTTAAACAGCCTTGCTCATGCCCACACGTATGCTAAACGCATAATGTCTCTTGTGGAAATGCATCCCAGCTCACTGCCAAGTACAGTAAAATGACTTACGAAATATTATTTGTATTTCTTTGCAAAACTTTATTGCGCATAAAACCGACCATTCTGCTTTATGGGTAAGATGTTACCACTTTAAAAATTTTTTAGATTCTCCTTCCTGCCCCATTAAAGTTTCTTCTCTTCTGAAAGGGTTAAGAATAGTTTTATCATTGCTGGTCAAAAGAGGACTGCTGGGGGCACAGGCCAGGAGGCATGCTGCCTGCTCTGTTGCTGGCATCCTCAGACTCAGGGCAGGCTGCCTTCTGTGCCCTGTAGGTGTGCTGGATGTGGGTCTCCACTGCACTTAGCCGCGGGTTTGGGCTCAATTGCGCCCTCCATGGCAGGAACTCTGGCATTTTATGTGTGTATAGTTTATGCATAATCTAGCTGCTTCCCTATCTTCATGGGAAGACTTAACTCTTAGGAAGAAGACCTGCCTGGAACTGCGTGCATTTCCAGAGTTGGAAAACACTTCATGCAGCAAGTCACCAGAGCACTAACATCAACTGCAGACTAGTAGTTACAAAATGGGAGCTTTAAAAAATAAGTGCTCTCCTAAAACCTGATGTCCCAACACCATCAGGAGCTGGGGAACACTGTGCAGGCTGGTGGACTCTGGGAGCCTCTCTGCAAACTCACCAGTCCCCTGTCTTGTGACTGCAGGCAGCAGTGCGTGTTTGGAGGATGCCGTGATGTTAAGGCTGACCAGGACTGGACAGCAGCAGGAGGCAAAGGTGGCACCTGGTGTTCCTGCTACATTAGGCCACTGAGAGCACATCACTACTGCTGTTTCCCGTAGAAGTCACTTTGCCAACTGCTCCCAGATTCTGGAGTCAGCAAGAGCAACAAGGGATGGAGGCAGCTTGGCCAGGTTGACTGGTTATGGTGGCATTTGAGAGGAGAAGGGGGGTCAGGGAAAAGGCCACATGGGCAGGGAGGGTCTTGTCCCAAGTCCAATTTGATTAGAAAATTGGAGTTTGAAGATGAAATCTAGAACACCCTCCTCTGCCCTGTTTTAAGGAAAGAGAATAAAAATGGAGACTTTGCCTCATCTGAAAACAAGAAATGAAATCAGAGCGGTGATGGCTGAGACAGGTTCTTTCTCTTTTGCAGTTAGGATGAATGTTCACTTGAGGCACAGTGTGGTTCCCCATGGAAATTCCAAGATTGGCATAGACCCTTGGCCTGCTCTACCCTTAGGATGGCCAATGGGGCTGCCTGACCCCTGCTCTCCCATAGACCTCTCCCCACTGAGAGGCAGCTAGCATGTCCCTTCCAAGCTGGTTGGCACTGTGGGAATCTTCCCTGCACTATGTGCTATTTTGAGGAAGAGAACTCCAATCCCTCCATTTTTCTCAGTTAGTGGCCTGATGAGCTACACAGCTTGAACAGTGAAAAATGAACAGTTTGGCCATAGGAGCTAGTTATCACCTCTTACTATCCCATGAAGATCCTGGCACAGCGGAGGTTCCCCTCGCCGTTGGGAAGGGAGGACTGGAGTCTTTATGTGAGATAGCAGCCTAAATCCCAATGCACATGTGTTTCTGTCTACTTGGGTTATCCGCTAGGCAGAGGGAAGTCTCATCAGCCACGCTGATTGCAAGGTCCCACCCTGTACTGTTTCGGCCAGCCAGGAAGAGGGCTCACTCCCAAACTTTAACATATGTGCCAAAGAAGGCAAAACCCTGGCACCAACACTGAGAAAAAATAGGTTCTGCAGAGTGAGGATTCTGACAGGGACAGGCAAGTGGCGGCTCTGCCTTCTGCTTGCCCCAAACAGTGCTGAAATGCACCCTGATGAGCAAGTCACATACGTGGGGAAGTCCAGTGCCACAGCGAGAGCAGGGCACCGAGTAGGGGGCCGGACACCATCGAGGGACAGAAAGCTGTGAGCAGGACCCACATCAAGGTCCCAGGCTGCTCCGTGATGCCAACCAGGCCAGTAACACGAGGAAGGCGGCTAATAAATATGGGTGCATGTGACAAACATCTGGTCATTTGGGCAGTTCTGGACCAGGCTGTGCGGGATGCAGCAGAGGCCTTGCTGTCATTCCCACCCAGGTGCCAGGTGATCAGTGTGTCTCTAATACAGATATAAAAATGAAGTTGCTTCAAGTATTAAAAAAATAAGTTAATTGACAAAAAGGGTCTGAAGCAGCTGAGCGTCTTCCCAGGTCATCAGCTTCCTTTCAATGTGCAAACACAGGAAAAATGCCAAGGAAAAAGGTCATTCCCTTTCCTGACATACAGCGCTGACCTATGACAACGCCTGTCTGTAACTGGGGGCTTGAAATCCAGGGCTTCACCTGGTCCCCCAAGTCAGTATTTTCCAGTGTCAAAATGGTTGTGAACTAAAAGCAAAATGCAGCAACTCCAGGCCTCAGGCCAAGGTCAGACAGAGGCCTGGGGTGTTTGGCCACGTGGGGTCCAGTGTGTGGGTTGGGGCAGAGAGCAGACCCTTTCTACCAACTCTTCACTTGCATAATAAGTTCTGGAGCCTATCCACTCCTAGGCGTCCCGTGCAATGCTGGTGGACACTGCCCTGAATGGCCACCACCCCTTCTCCCAGGTCTCGATTCACATCTTGCTGTTGTGTGGTGCACTTTTCATTTCTTTGGTGGTGCTTCAGGGAGCATGAAGAAGAAAGCTGCCCTCCTTCTCCGTGGAGGTGTGCTCTGTGGTGGCTGTGATTCTGACAGACAGGGAACAGCTTCCTTTTCTTACCAAATGTGGAAGGGGCACCAGCCCGTGGTCCCTGGGAGTATGCGGGGTCCTTCACATTCTCTGTCATCTGTGCCAGGCTCCTCACTCCTGAGCGGAAGTCCAGGTGGGCCCCTTCAGAGGGGGCAGGGTCACCTTGGATGATCCTCATCACCTCAGGTTCCCCGCAGCACATGAGACTTGACCCCACTTTTCTAGAGGCACATGGGTATCTGAGTGTGAACTCCACGGAGGTGCCAGGGCTTGTCAGGTCTCGGATCCTGTGGTTTGGAGACCACAGCCAGGTCAGATGGATGTCTACAGACCAACGGTACCAACAGTAAGTGTGGGTGGGAGCTCAGGACCAGTTCAGGCTGAAGCCCTTGGAAAGCATGGCAGCCTCTAGGTCCTTGTCCTCCTCTTTCTCCCGAAGCCGCTGCTCCTCCAGCAGGGCCACTAGGGAGTCTCTCTGTTCCACCACCTCCAGCATCTCGTTGAGGATCTTCTTCTCCTCTGACAACTCCTCCTCAGTCTTCAGATGATCTGGGGAGCAACGGCAGACATCAGGTGTGAGGACTCCAGAGGCAGAAGCCACATGGACTTCCAATGCACCTCACATCCTCCCACTCACCTTCTACTGCCATCCGCTCCCGGAGCTCCTGCTGCAGGCGGCTCTGCCGGTCTTCCAGCTCCAGCTCCCGGGCACTGAAGTTGCGAGGTGGGGAGGGAGACAAGCAACAGTGACTTGGGGACCACCCCCCTCACCCTACCAAATTAGGGTCATTGGGTCTGTTGTGACAGGCATGGGGCTGACATCCCCCTCCCCGCCCCGGGCTGGGAGCCCTGGCGTAAGGCCACTCACAAGATCATCAGCTCTGACTCGTAGCGCACCATGGCATTCTTTTCTTGCACCAGCCTGAACCACTCCTGCATCAGCTTGGGGTCATCCTTCTTGCCCATGCCTGCCAAGAGAGAGCACGTGTCAGCTACAGGGAGTTTCTCATTAGGTGCATCCCGGCCCTGCAGGAGTCATCACACTGGGGCAAATGTGCAAAGAGAGCCGAGCAAGATGCTGCCGGAACACTCCCAAGCCAGGTCCAAAGTTTGCCTATATCCATAGCGGGGGCAGACAATGACAGGCCCCAGCACACACTCCCGGGTCTGGCGCTGCCTATGCTCCCTTCCATCTGTCCTTCCCTGGCCCTGCCTCACCTGTCAGTGGCCTCGGCCAACGGTGACTCTTCCCTCCTGGGGGCTCATTTTTGCCTCTCCTGCTCAATGGTTCTCCTTTATTGTATCTTAAATTGCTTTGCCCTCTTTTTTCCCCTTCAGTTAGTATTTATCTGGATCTTGCTGTGTACTAAGTCTCGTTATGGAAATCAGTCTAATAAATGAAGCAAATGTGAATTTATAAACTACGTTTTGCCCTTAAGTTATGCTTGTTTAATCTACTTCCTTCCTGGGCTGCCGCCCCTCTCTGGGGCCGCTGCTACATCACTTCTTTATATCCTGACACAAAGATACTTCTGCTTAGCTTGTGGCCTATGAAGCTTTCTGGCACTCTCCCACTCAGTCCTGACAGTCTACACAGTACATCCCAGGATGACTACCAGGTTTCTCACCGAGAGCAGAGAAACACCAGCAGACCCTCGAGACTAAGACAGGTGGTTATGGTTTGCTCTGATATAATCCAGTTGGGGCTGGTGCCTGCCTGATAGCTCAGACTACCCCAAACCAACACACGGCTGATATCTAACTCACCATCAGCAGTGGCCTGACCCACTGGGCTTAACTATAGCAGGAGGGTGGAAGGAAGAACCAAGGGATCAAAGAACCCAAGGAGGGAACAAACTCCTTTTCCTTGGAGCACAAAGAAGCTCATGGCAAAAGCGTGGTCCTGCCTAAAAGACAGAGTATGCCAGTGGCTCTCTAATATTTTGGATTACAAACTACTTGGAGAATCTCTGAAAGCAAGGCACTTTCTTCCTTATGAGTACACACCAACAATCTTATACAGAGTCCCAGGCTGTTTACAGGCTTCCTGAAGTCCCTCCATGGCCCTCAGGTTAAGAGGCACTGGACTGGGGAGTCACTCGGGGGGTGTTGCAGCCCAGTTAGGACAGGCCCTGGAGCATAGGGAGTGCATCCTCAGGAAGACTGCTCTCACGATCAAGCTCCCTCCTCACTGCAGACACATCTTTCTGTGGAACTGTCTACCTGACACACGTGAGGCCTAAGCCAGTTAGTCTGTACCTGGTAGTCGCACTCTGGGGAGGCAGAAAGGCATGGCGCTCACACAAGCAGGGTTAGTGCCTGTGCTGTGTCTCAGTGCACACACAGTTTTGCTCCCCGCGTGTGCCCTGCCTGAGCCCTGCTCTGAAGGATAGGTGCCCCTGCCTGTCCTGTCCGGCCTGCTGCTATATAGCATGCGTGCCTGCGTGTCAGAGTTCAGAGCTCTCCTCACCCAGCCCAATAGACTTGGTTCTTGGCTTTCAAACCAGCCTGCAGCTCAGTTCCATGCATTCCTTCTGGAGCCTCTCTGCACAGTGTGCCCACATGGCCATGGAAGATGGAGCCCCAGGCATGCAAGCCGTCCAGTGTGGCACGCCACAACCACACTGGGATGGCGCTCCCTCCTGCCCACCTCCCCACGTGAAGAGACAATAAATTCCACCGGGAGACGAGTGAGCAGTGCTCTCGAGCCACGGGAGAGCTCGCACACAGCTGATGAGCAGGGCTGTGGTGAGCAGGTGAGAGCTGGGTGTGAGCCGTGGAGGGCAGGTAAGAGGTTAGCAGGGTTAGTCATGGCCACACCCCCCCACATGCCTTTTCAACAATAATCTTATCACCACAACAGACTTCAAACCACACAAACTTAAAAAAAATACACACGCACACACACTCGGCAAGACACAAGGTAGAGAAGTTTGCTTTTAGTGGTTGTTTTGGAAAAGAACCCGAGGGCACTTGTGCAGACCAGTCTTTGTAAGGACAGTATTCCTTGACTCTGCTGATACAAATAGCTGCCACACAGGTGGGGGACTCCTCACCTGTTTTCCTGGTCCCTCTATCTGATGGGTTTAAGACTTAAGGCCCCAACCACGAATGGTCGGGTAATATTGTAGAAGTCCTACTGGAGCCTCGAGAGGCCCGTACCTGGAGGTGCACTGGCTACACCCTGTGCCCCGGTCCTCCCCTTGGACAGTCAAAGGGATACTGTGCCTTGTAAGAAACTGCCACATACTTATGTTTTATAACAGGGCTATTGGGGGCAGAGATAAAAAGAGAGAGTTGGGTTTTGGCTCCCTGTTTGACTAATGTTGCTACGGCCCCTCTGAGGCAGTGGGGATGAGGGTGGTGAAGTTACGTTACCTTCCTGGACACAGCAAGGGCAGAAGGAGAGAGGTCTACGCCGTGGAGTCCCGCCACTGGGCTCAACTTCAAAAAGGACCAAACAAAGGAGAGGAGAAGGAAACGGAGAAAGACAAAAAAGGAAGAGGAAAAAGAGGAGGAGGAATTTGGAAGTGGAGAGGGACAGGGAGAAGGTGAAATAAAAAACAAGCAGAGGACAAAAAGCATAAAAAGTGAGAAAGGAACAACAGGAGGAAAAGAAAAAAATACAAGAAATGGAGAGGCAGAAACAAGGGAAACAAAGTCTACAAATGAATTAAGTCCTTTTTTCAGCACAGAAACTGAACAAGAGCAGACCGAGGTGCCAGGCAGCAGCCACTGGCAGGCGCGGGCTCAGAGAAGGGGCGTGGGTTCCTGCAGAAGACGCACATGCTCCCCCATGGTTCCCAGGCCCAGTGTGCCACACCTGCTTCCTCCATTCCTTAGGGGTGGGGAGAGTGGCATCCAGGTATTGCCATAGAGTGGCTTTTTGGTTTTGGGTCTTAAGCTCCTTCCTCAAAGATGCTCGAAGCCCCTGGAGAGGAGGGCCTGCCTCTGTGGGACAGACTGTATTATATAAGGGGCTAATACTGCTCTAGGTTTGCAGGTGACAACCTGGGGTCACTATCTAGACGTTTGAGGAGCATTCTAAAACGTCACCATAGGCCTAAGTGCTGTGGGAGAACCAGGCTTGGTAAGTCTAAGGGGCAAGCAGGAGTCATCTGCCATCAGGCTGCCCTACAGTAGAAAGGAACTCTGAGCCTGTGCAGGCAGCGCCTGACCCTGCAATGGATTTTGGGAGCCCTGACATCTTTGATGCTTCCAATTCTGAGTCAGGACAATTTGGGGGAAACATATGCAGAGGAAACTTCCACTGGTCCTGTCACTATCCCGCGACCCCCATGTGCAGACAGAACCAAGCCCATCTTCTCCCAGCCTTGCCATCTCTGTGGGAGGTTCCAATGCCACTACTGGGGAGATTGTCATACTTTGGACTGTGAGACCAAAAGGAGGTGAGCTGACAGGACATGCCAAAAACTTACAGGGACAATGCTGGTGAGAGTGGTGGACGGGGAACTGAGAGAGACAGTGTGCAGAGACATCTCTAGGGGATCTGATGGCTACTCAAGGACGACGGAGAGAAGGTAGCAAGGGACCATCACAGAACTACAGGAGCACACACAGGGGAGACACAGGGTCTCAGGCCTATCTGGGGGTCAGTGTGTGGTCTATGAGAATAGGGCCTTCCTTTAGTCAACAGAAAGGCAAATAGATAAACTGTTGGTTCGGAGGCCATCCTTACTATGCAGCTGAATAAATGTAGATATACTTTTTTTCTTTTTGTAAAGCCCCCAGGGTTCTGCATAGTGCTCTGTGCACAGTGAATCAGATACACTTCCAAACTAAAGCCAGAGACTGTGTGTGTGTGTGTGTATACACACACGATGCTAATTACATCCAGTGTTCTAAATAGACCAGCTGATGTGTGGGGACAAGGGAGAACGTTTTCTTTCCTAAAAAGTATACTCTTCCTTAAAGCTGATCTATAGTCAACCTTCTTAGTTTCAAAATGTAGCATCTGTGTTGAGGCTGAGAGTATCTGGATAGCCCCCATCAAATACCACCTCAGTGAGTGAATAAATACACTGCTGCTTCCTGGGACTGACGTTAACATTTGAAGAGGCCGTGGTGGTGTGGGGGACAACAACAGCATCCATATTCATTAGCAAGGGACAATGCCAGGATACACAACCAGCAAACATCCAGAACAAAGAAGCAGGGGCCTGCACTTGTATTTTAAAGAATATGGGACAGGAGTAGTGGCTCATGCCTGTAATTCTAGCTCTCTCTGAGCATGAAGTGGGTGGATTGCCTGAACTCAGGAGTTCAAGACCAGCCTGAGCCAGAGTGAGACCTCATCTCTAATATAGCCAGGCATTGTGGTAGATGCTTGTATTCCCAGCTACCTGGGAGGCTGAGGCAAGGGAATCACTTAAGCCCAAGAGTTTGAGGTTGCTGTGAGCTGTGATGCCACAGCACTCTACCAAGGGCGATAAAATAGAAAAAAAGTGTTTCTACTTTCTGGACATCACAAAATATAGTTTGTAGCTCCCTTTATGTAGACCACACCCTCACATACCCTTTCCAATACAAAGGACAATAAGAGATAACAGAATATTAAGAACAGAAGTCAGAAAATGAAATGAGAAAAAGGGGATATCAGGTGAAGCAAGTGTTTAGAGAACCAACAGGTAGAAGGCAGAATGTGGAGGGCCAGAAGGGCATCCCTCTGAAGGGGTCAGGTGAGCCAACAGAGTGTGTGGCCACTACTTTCATCTTTAGACTTTCCTGTTTGCTCCAAGATTTCCATAACGAATGTATTATTACTTTTATAATCAGAAAAATACAGCCAATGAACATAATTTTCAAAAGAAGAAATGGGAGGGAAACCCCAATCAAACAAGGGAAGTTCTACCCCCAGACTATCATCTGCCACAAGCATGTGGGGCCCAGGGGTGCTGCTCTGGATGGTGATTTCTTTGCCTTTTATGGAGATGTGAGAAACAGATGA